GGTGGCTAGAAAGAAGGCAGAGGTGAAAAGGTTCTCCCCAAATCTCTCATCTCCAAGTACAGGTTGTGTCTCTCTAACTCTCTGCCGAGGGATTTCCCAGCTCCGGGCCAAAGCTCCACCCCTGCTGCTGCACTCAATTGTCACTGGAAGCGAGCCATTTTCCACCCTCAAGGTGGCAGGACTCAGGAGTGGTGACACTGCTGACCTGGGCTCTGTGCCCTGCCCACATGACCCACCAGGGGATGGGACTGTCAGTCAGCAAGTTTTAGGAGCCTCCCATGGGCTTCCTGCTGCCTAATCCTAGCCCTTGGGCTGGAATGAGGGTGATCTTTGGCAGAGGGCTTTTCAATAAAGTCTGCTCCGCTCGGGACTTCCTCTGCAACCAGGCCGGGGAACAAATGGCCTGTTACCTACACCCCTGCGTGAGTGACTCACCTCCCAGAGAAAGTACTCCCCTCACCTAAATAGAGCTGCTTGAAAAATGACTAAGGCACCTATCAAATGCAGGCTGTGGGGCTGGCCAGTGACGGAGCAGGGTCCAGACCTCTGCCTTCACCTCCAGCCTTGAAGGCAAGTGCCACCCGGGGTTGCTGCTTTCATTTTCATCTATCTGAGTGAGCTCCTCACGAGGCTCGACATCCGGTGATTTATTTTTTCTAAAAACTAGGTTCGCTTTAGAAATGACTCTTCGCCTATCAAGACAGCTTCCCCCAGAGAAAACAAAGGCTATTTAGAAAGAATGTCAGTGTGGTGGGAGCAGTATTTTTGTTTTGTATTAAGAGGGGAAAAAGGAATTCAATCTTCCCCCTCCCCACCCTGTAGGTCCAGGGCCTCCAGACCTGGTTATAGAGATAAGACAGTTTTAAGGGAGAAGAGGTGGGGTACCATGTGCTGATGCAATTCGTACCCCCCCAAAATGTTGCCTCCTTGTCCCCCAAACAAAGAACAAGTCCTCAGTGGCTTATATTCAGTGAGTACTTTCTTTCTCACCCCAGGTTAATGCTGGGACCCACTTAACCACATGGAGGATGGGGGAGCTCCCCGACAGGCCCAGTTCTGTTTGGATCAGAGTCCTGAGATGCATGCAGGTAATCCCTGTTTAGGACTCTGAACTCTGACCAGACAGATCCTTGATCTTTTTAGGCTTATCTGAAGTAGTGTGAGGGCAGGATGTACAGTAAGCCTAGAGGACCAGGGGCTAGGGAGGTGGCTCAGTGAGTAAATATGCTTGCAGCTCAGCCTGAAGACCTGAGTTTGCTCTTTGGAGGTCACTTAGTGGAAGGGGAGAATCCTGCAAATTGTCCTCTGATCTCCACACATGTGCTGAGATACACATGTGTGCATTCACAGTGAATATGTTCAGTGTGTAATGTTTTTGTTGTTTTGTTTTTAGACTGGGAAAACTTGACAGCTAACCCATCCAGGCTGGTGAGCAATCCTTGGAGGGCTGCTGAAAGGAAAAGACGAACCTGTCAGGTAATAGTTTCCCTTCACATCATCTTTCAGATGACAGATCTAGTCACAATGTAACTGGCTGCTACTACTACTGCCATAACTACCACGACAATGACCAACAGCAGTGACAGCCACTGTGCCCAGCCCAGCATACAAATCCTCTCATATCTTCTACTTAAAACAGCCACACGAAATGTTTCTGATCCCATTTGCAGACAGAGACACTCCATGCTCACAGAAGTGAAACACTTTGCTCAAGGGCACACAGACAGACAGACAGCCACAGGCAGACCAGGCTCTGACTCAGGGGATGTGGAGGCACTATGAACAGGTTCTATCACAGGACAGATCACTTGTGCCTTCTGCCTTAGTTTCTATATCTGGAATACGAGCATAGGCATGCTTGTTCCGGCAGCAGGCTTTTAGTAACCGCCAGTATCAATAATCACTAAACATCAATAACAAGTAAGGATCATTATGGTAGTTAAAATTGCTTCCCTGGTTTAATTACATTCAAAATTGACTTTTTGTGGAGAAGGGCCTATCACTCTTGAGCAAGTGAGTATTCTAAAATGATGAAGTATATGTCAAGAAAAGTCAGTTTAGATTCTATCCATGACACCAAATTCCTAAGGATTGTTGTCTGTTTTATTCGGTCCTCATTTTAAAGATCTTTACCTCTGTACTGCAAGAAAATAGAAAGGCTGTCTACAAAATTATTCCCTATGCACATAATTCCAAAGGATTTCTACCAGGGAGCTCAAGATGAAAGACTCTAAAACAGCAAGAGGGGAAAGGGGCCTCAATCTAAGCTCGAATAAAAGAGCACACGGGCCTCAGAGTAAAGTTTCCTTAGTGTTATCACCCAGGCAGTTGAGAGAAGCTCAGAATGCAGGACCCTACCTCAGTACCGTGGCACAGAACTGCCAGACACTCTCCTATGCCTCCTGCCTTCCCACTCCGCCCCGCAGCTGCCAGCCCTGCAGTCGGTATCACCCGTATCACCGAGTGAATGCAGGGTGCTCATATTTGAATCGCTCACCCTACCCGTGAAGACATTCAACCCCATTCCTTTCCCTTATTCGGGATCCTGGTGTGCAGAGGGCTGACTTATCCTTAGAGCTCCCCAAATCCACTCTCCAAACCGCTCCTCTCCGGCCCCTCTCTGCACCCACTTCATGCCGGTGCCATCAAAAGTGCCCAGGGTGCTGAGATACCTCCAGTTTAACTGAAATACTAAAATGGGGCAAACAGGAAGCATCAGACACAACTGCGGTAGTGACTTATTAATCACGAAAGCAGAATTTTAGTTGCATTTTAACCTTTTGCCAGGAAGAAAAAAAAAAGCATTGGGTGATGGAAGCCAGCGGTGGAAATGTCTGCTGCCTGCATGTGCGGCAAGCTGACCTTTCACTTAGACTGAATTTGGTTTTCAGATTCCTTCTTTCTCCCCAGAAAGAACATCTGTCAAGCCACCCAGGATGAACCTGTGAGCTCTTCCCAGACTAGAAGCAGCTGTTGGGAGAAGTCCATGTGTTGTCCACCCAGACAGGAAAAACAAATAGGAACCTAAACGTGACTTCAGGGGCCAAGGAGATGACATAAAACTCTTAAGAGTGGGATAAATGGCCTACACAAACAAACCCAGATTTATCTACTGTACACCCCTCCAATCTCCTACCAGCCCCTAGCTAGTGATGAACTCTTTCACTCACCAAAAAAAAAAAAAAAAAAAAAAAAAAAAAAACCCTCCTAACAGTTGCCAAAGGCTAGACAACCAATGAGGGTGAGTCCTAGCCTCCCGCACACAAACACTCGGAGCAAATCACAAAGGAATCTGTGTTCATCAAGAGAACCAAAATGAGGAACCAAACTTCTATCTGCTGAGGCTGAGTGGCAAAACCAGACATTTTTGTTTAATAGATGAAGGTTCACTTGGCAGGGTCTCTGTGTTGCACTCTCGCAAACTAACCGACTGGAGGCAAAATCCCCTCAGAACCGCTCCTTCTGCTCAGGAACAATCAGAAAATGACCTAAAGCCTAGTATTTGCTTAGTTTCATAAAATGCTGGGAAGTATTTCTGGGTATGCACAGCTAGGTAGTTATCTCTAAAATTAAGTCAGACATATTAACTACTCTTATGAGATCTTCTGAGAAGTTCACCACACTCTTCCAAATAAATCAGGATGTCTTCTTCTGTCTTCCTTTCTGGTGTTCTGAGACAGGATCTAGCTATGAAGCCCTAGCTGTCTTCAAAGTCACAGTAATCCTTGGCCTCCCAAGTGGTGGGATTACAAGTGTGTGCCATCATGCCTAGCCTTCAAGATGTCTTCAAGGCGTTTGAAAAACTCAGAAAGCTGGCACTGACCCAAAGGAATTGCCTTTGACATCACTTCAGATGCAAGAGATACATCATAAGCAAGTCAAGAACCCCTCAAGTATCCTCTCATGTTAAGAGCAGAAACACTACCCCAGACCTTCTCAGACATATGCTCACCCTCATGCCCCCCACACCCGGTTCAGGTACTTCACTTAGCAACTGGATAAAACTCTACTCATCTTAGCACACCTACCACTAGAGGTGAAAGTTACTGAGCAAAACCCTGCACCACTAATGTTAGGATCCTCTAATCTTTCAGAAAGACTCTGTCTCTAGCCACAGTACCAGTGTTCACTGCTCATGGTGCTACTGTCATCACTTGCTTTCATTCACTTTTAGAGTCCTTAATCAGGTCATCAAGTTCATTGTCTCCAATTAACAACAGCAACAAAAAATTGTCATTAAGCTACTGATTTTTGAAACTTCACTCATCCTCTCCTTCCTCTAGTGTCGAGAGCCATCTTTTAATCTCAACTTAGAAAAAAAAAAAAAAAAGACTTTTTCTGAAGTTAATAAACACAGAAGAGGCTCCTAAGCAGGTGGGAATCTCTGCCTCTGACAAATGTTTCTTTTTACTTGGTGACAGGTGGCTGCAAGTTGCCAGAGCCAGGGTGAGCTTCCAAGATGGGACTAGCACATATAAACACACACCAAAAGTCCCAGAACACTGAATCACACAGAAGGATCAGGATCATCGAAAAGGAAGGGTACTGTGTGCGACTAGCACTGCCCTGCTGAGTGTCCTCAGCTGCTTCTCCCAGCACAAGCGACCCCAAGCACTTCACAGGGAAAGGCAGCGCATTTCACAGCTAGGGCGGTGAAGCGATCTCCTCCTCTTGAGGGGCACCTAAGAGCCGGGTCTGGTAGTGGGGCAGTCGAACTCGATGGCACGGATGTTGGGGAAGGGGAAGAAGGCAGTCCCCGCGCGCATTTCGGGCGAGCGAGTGACCCGTGGGTACGCGGCCTGAAAGCTCCGGGAGAGCACGGCGTTGCGAGCGTGGCGCGTGCGAGCTGGTTAGACCGCAGACACCCAGCCACCCATGCCTGCCAGCTCTCGCGGAGAGCAAGGCCGCAGCCCGGCCCCGACCTGAGAGGCTCCCCTTCCCCGCCCGCTAGAGCCATCAGCGTCCCGCTTTAGATCTCAGGGCTCTGCCCAGTCACCTACCGGCTGAGCGCCGCTCTCCTCAACCAAGCGAGTGTGGTGCTTCGCTGGCCAGCGACCGCTCGGGGGCCCTAGCCGCCCCTCCCCGACCACGCCCCCATGTCTAGCCCCGCCCATGGCCACGCCTCTCCCTGTGGCTGAGACTTTGCGAACTTCCCGCCTCCTTTCTTTGGCCGCACCGCGACCCTTGATCCCGCCCACTCCCACAAGTGAGCCAATAAAACGTCTCTTCCAAGTCGGCTTGCCGCCCACTCCTTAGCAGCCATTGGCTATTGTGGCCTTTCCCAAAATGGATACTGTTTCCGGCCAGGGTTTCTAGAAGCGGTGGCTGGGTGGACGGGCGGGCAGTAGGCGGAGGAGGCCAGGGTGTTGGTGGAACCACACATGCGCTCTCGGCTTCTGGCGAATCTTTTTACGGGTTGCATTCTTTTTGAGGTTACGGGAAGGAAGGGCGACTGTACGCATGCGTGGGCATTCCAGGCTTCGGCTTTGGTTACCTTGGAGATGGAGAGGCGCTTTCCCTCCAAGGTCTTGGATTCCTCTTCCTTTCTACTTAAGGGAGTGGCTACTTCGTGGGGTCCTGGTGAGGCTAGAAACACTTTTATGGAGCACTTAGCGTGTGCCTGATGCTGTAAAGTGTCTGAAGATGAGGTTACTGTGCCTGCCTGTGAGAAACGTGGGAAGCCAAAGGTCCACAGAACACAGGCCTAATGTTGAAACACAGCAGCGTGCAGGTGGCGTGGTACAAACTCTTTCCGCCCCAGGAGAAGCTGCGTGGTATGAATGCTGGGCACAGGACCCATCCTAGACTGGGCTTTGAAAACATGGTATCCATAGTGCCCTTTTGATGGGGAGTGAAGGGAATGTATGGGTTTGTTAACTTTGATACTGAACAGGAAGCTTCTATTTAGTGGTAATAAGAAATCACATACTTTTTTTTTTTTTTTTTTAGAGTTTGCCACCATAGACTCTGCTAGGAGTCTAACTGCAGATGCAGGCACTGGATGTTGGGTGGGAGTGGGCAGCTCCATCCGAGTCTGTCTTGAGAAATAAGGAAAGTCCTGTCTGGAAAGGTTTGAGCCAGGGCCAGGCCACTGTCGGCTTGTGACCACTTTGCAGACCTAGCTTCCTTTTGGAGATGTGTCCAAGCAGACAGCTGTTACTGGATACCAGGAAAGGCCATTCATTTAGACAGTGTGGGAATCTCACCATCTGGCCAGCATTCAGGAGGCTGGGGCAGGAGGATGACAGGTTTGAGGCCAATCTGGGCTGCGTGGCAAGACTTCTGTATGAAAACAAAACAAACAGCCTCCAACCCGAGAGGCTCACCCACCCGCCCGGGCTAGAAGAATGTGAGTGCAAAGCCTGCAGTTGCTCATAGCCTAGCACATGTGTCTCATTCTCTACCATGACAAGTGTGGTCCCTGGAAGCATTTCTGGCCGTGACTTCCACAGAACATATACTGGAGAGTCAAGACAGTCTCGGGCACATATCTTGGCTTTGCTGGTGACCAGCTGAGAGATGGTAAGACCAGAACAAAACAAACAAACAAAACCTGGACTGGGGGCTTGTGAAAGGCTCCTGCCATCCCCAGGGTTTGGTATTTCAGTGACTCAGAAGAGGCAGAGCTGGGCCAGATGTGCAGGTTGGGATCAGGTCTTTCTTGCTGTCTGTCTTTTCCCTCCCACCACCTGCTTGCCTCTGGGCAAAGCACTTCTCAGGAAAGGTGCGGGCAGTGGGCCCAGGTTCTGCAGTGGCTCCCTGCAGGGCTGGTTCACCTTTGCCATCTCCCTCTCACCCTCCCTTCTTTAGGACATCCGTGTTTCTGTCCTTTACTAGTTTCTCTGTGGTCCTGGTCCCCTTCCATGCAATGTCTATTCCAGCAAGATGATTGGTCTTTAAACGCACACTGCTGTGCTAGGGTGTATTAGTGAGAAGGAAACTCTTGACTCAAAGCTCTTCAGAAGGTCACCTTGCAGGGGAAAACAAACCACTGCACTCGCTAGCAAGGAAAACACTAGGGAAAGCAGGGCTTCTCAGTCTCAGCTGCTTTTCTCCTGTCTCTTCCCACCGTGTGTGAGGGGAGATGCAAACACCCCTCTCCCCTCTTCCGGTGATCACTGGGGTGTCTCTGAAACTTCAAATACCCACCCCTAGGAGAGATTCGGGGTAAAAGTGACTTCCTCGTCCTGGTCTAATAAGTCATGATGGTCTGGGCAGGCTTCTAGCCCTGAGTCACTTGTGCAGCTTCAAGTAGGCTTTAAATAAAATAATTGACATTTACAGGGTGACTCACACCTGGGGCAGTGTTGGGTTCAGTACTCAGGGTTTCACATCCCATCTATTTCAGGCTTGGAAACACAAGGGTAAGAGTGTGCCAGGCTGAGAGCGCAGTGGGGTCTGCTTTGTTTTCAGATCAGAAGGTCCAAATCCAGGGCCTTTCATACCCTAGACAAATACTCTATCTACCATGGAGCTCATCCTGGCCCTCTTCCTTCCTTTCTTCCTTCCTTCCTTCCTTCCTTCCTTCCTTCCTTCCTTTCTTTTTTTTCTAGGTAAGGTCTCTGTGGCCTATAACTCCTTATTTGGCCCCAGCTAACCTCAAACTTCTTCATGATTTCATCTCTCCAGTATTGGGATTACAGGCACGTGCTGCTATTCCTGGCTCCTCTGTTTTGTGTTTGTTTACACCTCTCTTTTTTTAAAAAAAAAAAATTCTTAAAGTTAGCGTGCAAAGGAATGGGTTACATCATAGCATTTTCACATATATGTGTCATTATACTTGGCTCTCATCTGTTCAGCGCCTGGCTTTTAAGAGACTAAGAACATAATCCAGCTAGGTATAGTGGCATATGACTGTAATCCCAACACTTGAGATTGGAAAACAGGAGGATTAAGAGTTCAACGCCATCTTCACCTACAGAGTGTGTTTGAGGCCAGCCTGGGCTACAGAAGACCCTGTCTTCAATCAACCCACAAACAAAAGAATGTGAACTAAGTGTGTTGTGTACATAACCTGACTGGATAGCCTCAGTCTTGACATTTTGTATTGGATAATTCATTGTCACTGACCGGGCAGCCCTGTCACCTTGTCATTGCAGGATATTTAAGAGCATTCTTGACAGTCTGCTTGGTTAGGAAAACATGCTCCCAGACATCATGTGACAACACAAAATCTCTGGATATTGCTAACCTATTCCCAGGAGAAGCAGTTGTCCCTACTTGAGAACCCTGTCGTTTTATTACTGTTCATCCCACAGATGAACAAACGGAAGCCTGGAAAGAAGTGATTTGCCCAGGGTCACTTCTCTGTACCTGAAGACCCAGGATCCAAACAACATAGTACATCACACTCCCTGCAGGCAGGACTCCATAGAAACGTCAGGGTTCAAGGAGTAAGTACCCCCATCAGTTCTGTGGAATTGGGTGCAGTGGTGAGACAATGCTGTCTTTGGGTCATTTGCCCTTTTCTGTTTGTCCTGGAGAAGGGAAACTGTCGTGTGGCCTTAGCACATTTAGGATGCGATGCCATGTCTAGTGAGAAGGCGTTGGGCAGATCACCTGATGCCTGTGGGTCTTGGGGTAACATTCCTGTGAAATCTTGAATTCAGGTGAGGGCTGGTGTAAGGATGACTTGAGAGAGGACCTAGGCCTAAAGGCAGACATTCCTGGAGGAGAAGGTATGCTCCCTCCCACTGGGGACCTGCCTGCACCACAGCCATGATGTTATTGCTGGTCCCTAGTTTGGACCTGCCCCATTACTGCCTTCAACCCACACATCTGGGTAGGGGATGGGGAAGCAGTGGAGGAAACAGATACAGAGATACTGCCCCTGCTCTTCAGACTGTGACCTCATGAGTAGCGTACAGTGGGACTATTTACACCATAGAAATTGGCAAATAACATAAGCCTGGGCATACCACCATCTCCCCTTCCAAACCAGTTGCTAAACAATTCCCAGAACATTGTTACCTGCTGCTGCTGGCCTCTGCCTTCTGACCCATCTTATCACATACTGGGATGATGGAAGGGAGACCATAAACTACAGAACTGGTAGGGGACAGAAGTGTTAAGATGAGAGGAAGAAGAGGTTCGAGTTTTGACACAGGATGGAGCTGTACAAATGGGAGTCTCTGATGGGCACTGAACAAAGATAACCTTACCAAGAGCATGCCTGGACATCCCTCCCTGAGACCCCCTCCCTGCCTTTGGTGTGGTCAAAGGGATCCCTGGCTTGGCTGATATTCTTCTCAGTTCACTCACCTCCCTACCTCTAGTGTCTGTAGCATCTGAAGATGTGGCGCAGTTGGTAGAGTGCTTGCCTAGCAGACATGAAGCCCTAGACTCCAGCACCCAAGCACCAGCACCATACAAACCAGGAATGACGGTATGGCCTGCGTTCCTAGCACTCAAAAAAGTAGAGGCAAGAAGATCAGAAGCTCAAGGTCATCCTTGGCTATATAGGGAGCTCAAAGCCAACCTTGGTTACATGAGATGTTGTCTTTAAAAAAAAAAAATCCATACCATCCCTGACACTTCTGGTGGCCTTAATCCTCATGTGAGGCTACTTAGTCATTATCTCACAACCAATGCCCCAGCATCTCCTGCCATAAAACATCTTGCTCCTTTAGTCTCCCCCTTTCAACCTGTGAATGCAACCAAGCTCCCAGCCTAAAAATAACCAACCAGCTAAACAATACCTTCCCCCATCCTGGCTTTCCTGTATGTGTTTCCCAGTGTCTTCCTTGCAATATGACTTCTGCTCACCTCTCCTCCTCTCCTCCTCTTTGTGACCACACACTCACTTGGCTCCCATTAAATACCCTCATCTCAGTTCCTGTCTCCCTGTGCTGCACAATGTGATGCTGAGCACCTTTGGGTCAGGCTGGGAAATGAATACTGAGTGTCTAGACTGGCCCCTGCCCTCAGGGAACTTTTGCTGTAGTGACTGGCAGAATCTAAGTCATTTCAGATGAGGACTTGAGTCATCCTGGGTATTGGGTGCATGATGATGGAGATGCAGAGTATACTCTATCAGGCAGGACCTAGCTAGGCAGTATTTCATAGAGGAGTGAGTTACACAGGAGAAAGAAG